TAAACTAAACTAAACTAAACTAAACTAAACTAAAAGTATCGTTTACCTCTACAGCTACAAGTATCTGAAAGTTGCATCACGATTATGCAGAGGGAGGAATTATTCACAGGATTCCAATTACTTAGATATGTCTTCATCAGAGAACTGGAACTATATTTTGTGTTCCATTCTGATTGTCTCTTTATAGCTTGTCTATTTTAAAACAGACTCCCCAGGGTTAGAAATTTAATTAAAAGCACTACATATTTACACACAATCAGAATAGCATGTAATAAATCTTCCACGCTACTGCTTTAATTTTCTCTCCCACTGTAGAACTAATCTGTCTGCCTATAGGCAGCAAGCAGAAATCTCTCTCTGTCCCTTTATATATCTGTGTGTGTGTGTGTGTGTGTGTGTGTGTGTGTGTGTGTGTTCTATGAGTGTGTTCTATGAGTGTGTACAGGGTGAACAAGGGTCAGTATTTATTATCTCTTTTCCTCTTATTTATTATCAACCCAGAAACTAAATATTGTATGTGACTCAGACTGTTCTGAATACCTGTTAAATATTTATTCCTAAATGAGCAGAAAAAGCTTCTTGGATGAGAAGCAAAACATCTTCAAAGGAAAACAAAGAAAGTCTAGTTGCCTCTTGAAAAACCACCTTTGGGACAACCATGACCTGGATGACTAAGAATTTCTGTAGATATTTATTCCTAAACTTTAACATGTTATTTATTGTCTAGCAAAAAAAAAAAAAAAAAAGATTGTCCCAGATAATTTCCAAGCTATGCTAGTTATTTCTGAAGCAACCTGATGGTGAGATCTGAAGACAAAAGGAATGTAAAAGGTAAACTTTTGTGCACTCACCTTGGTCACACCTGGGGCCAGTGTAGCCAGCATAGCAGGTACACTTTCCATCTCCAGAGGGACCATGGTTGCAAACTCCATGCTGACACTCACATACTAAGCAAGAGAAGATGATTAAATAATTCATACTTAAGAGTCTTATCAAAAAATATTGCAATCATTAATGTAGCTGGGAGCAGGAAAATTTTGCTGGAAGCAGGGAAGTTTTACCATGAAGTTCATTGGCTACCTTTGAGCCAATCACTGTTGTTTGGATCAATCTTCTTCAAGGAGTTATTGTTGGAGAGATAAAATTAGCATTGTGCATCCCATCTTGAGCTCCCAGAGTAAAGTAAAGGTAAGCTCTCAAAGTAAAGGTATATAAAAAGCAAAACAACAAAATTAATAGAATTAAAGTTAAAATAAGTCATTAATATAGTTAAAATGAAAATCTTTGCAAATACAGAGAGAATGAGAGCTAAACACGCCTATGAGTGCAGTTCATAGCCTTTTGCCAGCATTTTGACGGTAGGGTATTTTTAAAAGATTCTTTGCTGATCATCTATATAACTGTGCAACTTAATAGCAGAAGAGATGGCCCGGCTAATATTTAGGCCTTGTAGCATTTAGACCTTCAAAGGTCAATATTATCTTGTAAACTATGCCTACTAGGCAACCCAGTGTGGATCTTTTACTACAAGCATCATGTTAACTCAGTGGTGGGATTTAGCCGGTTTGCACCAGTTCAGGTGAACCAGTTATTAAATTGTGTCCCTCCCCTGCTATTAAAGTGGGTCCTGGGTGCTGCATTGCAATGAAGACATGGGCAACAGAGCGGCCGGCATGAGGAAAGGAGAAGGCTACTTTCCCTCTTTCTTCTTCCTGCTGCTTCTCCCCTCTTGTGCTGGCCAGTCTGTTTCCCATTTCTCCAGTGCAGTGCATCGCCCAGGATCTACTTTGATAGCAAGGGTGGGGGCAATTTAACAACTGGTTTGCCCAGCATCAGGTTGGCTGTTGCGGGAGGCTTGTCCCACATGTGTGGCAGAGATGGAGGATGGGGATGGGCCACGCCTCCCACAACAGCCAACCAGACCCTGGGCGAAAAGGTTGTTCAATTATTTGAATCCCACCACTGAGTTAACTGTATATTTTGTCTCAATCAACAGCCACCTGACCTCATCAACCTCATCCCAATCAACAGCCACCTGACCTCATATCACTTACAATTTCCACACTGTTTGCAAGTTTAAGTGTTTTGAACTGAAGCATGGACAACTGCCACTATAGAAAGGATTGAAAATTGATATATTGGTCTTAAAAGAACAAGCATCCTTGTTATCCAGCCAGCCTCTGAAAAGCCAGTGGTGATTGGAGATCCAGGAGCATTTTAATTTTCATGGAGAAGAACAACCAGAAAAAAACTTGATCTATTTGAGAGTTATTCTAAAATGCAAAAGGATCTGCAAGCTCTTGTAATAAAAGTCATGCAGCACAGTGAAAAATGGGGCAAAAAGAGACTAAAATTAAATATAAAGAAGATCAAATTAATGACAACAGGTAGAACAACTAGCCTTAGAACTGACAAAAAAGAAATCAATTTGGTGAAGATCTTCCACCTTTTAGAATCAACCATCAACAGTAAAGGAACAAATAGTCAAGAAACATGGTATAGACTAGCATTTGATAAAGCTACTGCAAAGGCCTTGTAAAAGATATGTAAATGCTCAGATCAGAATTATGCAAATCAAGGTATGCCCTGGAATGGAAGCAAAATTTAGACTTTAAAAAAGTAGAATAGCAACAGTATTGGCACTTTTGAAGTATGGGGTGGTGGGGGGAAACTCCTAAGAATACTGTGACATCCAAGAAGACAAACAAATGAAACATCAAACAAACAACCCCAAGTTCTCACTCAGGGCACAAATGACAAGGCTGAAATTATTGTATTCTGGACATATTCTGTGAAGACGTAGCTTTCTTTAAAAAATCTATAATGCTGGGAAAAACAGAAAAAGAGGAATAGCAAGACAGGGAAGAAGATGAATGGACTCAATTATACTGGTGATGAGGACATCACTAAAAGACCTGAAACATCAGATTGTCATGGAAAAAGTCTATCTATGTCAGGGCTGTCAAACTCCTGGCTCACGGGCTGGAGACGTCACACGCCGGCCACGTCCATGTCCATGAAGGGGGGGGGGAGTCTCGATAGTCACGTGATGCTGCTGTGACGCTGTGAGTTTGACACCCCTGATCTATGTGATTGCTAAAAGTCAACAACAATTTTCTGGTACATAATCAATAGTTCAACCTTTTCCTTACCAATAGCACCTTGCTTGGAATTAATTTAAGCCTGTTCTGCCCAATATTGATACTAGGTAGTGTTTGAGAATATTAATAATTTCCTTAGAGATTGAGATCTAGAATGGTGCAGCTGGGTGCCCCAATTTTCTACCAATCCACTTCATTATCCTCAGTTGCTTCATAAGCCAAGGAGCTAATAAGTTATAGTTTTGGCTGTTTTGAGTTATCACTGTATTCTGCAGATCAGAGATATCAGAAGTAATGTAGACAACATGATAAATTTTCAAATGTATGAAGAAATCAATCCATATCCATCAGATACCTGGCCCAGAACATATTAACTGATTGCACATTCTGCAATGATTTACAGTGCCCATTACTATGATCATGTGCCTATGATTTTCCCATCAGCTCATTTAAATTCTTCTTTAGTTGACTACCAGACATTAACTTGACTCATTTCAGTGAGATCTTGGGCTTGAGATGCTTACCAGATTGACAGTCAAGGCCAAAATGATTCTCATCCTTGCAATGTTGGCATGCAAAGCCACCATAATTTGCCTAAAGAAATTAAACAGATCAACATTTTAGAATGGCATTTTTATGTCCCATTGGTGGCAACTAAGATAGAAAAAGGAAGGAAGGAAGGAAGGAAGGATGGAAGGAAGGAAAAAAGGAAAGAAAGAAAGAAAGAAAGAAAGAAAAAGAAGGAAGGAGGGAAGGAAAGAAAAAAGGAAAGAAAGAAAGAAAGAAAGAGAAAAAAGGAAAGAAAGAAAGAAAGAAAGAAAGAAAAAAGGAAAGAAAGAAAGAAAGA